ATGGCAGGGGAAGGATACTGCAAAATCCCCATTCCCTCTCCACTCCTGGGGGAAGGATATTGCAAAATCTCCATTCCCACGCCATGTTGGGGCCAGCCAGCGATGGTATTTGCTGGTTCTCCGAACTACTCTAAATTTCCGCTACCGATTCTCCAGAATCTGTTAGAACTTGCAAGGGGGAATGATTAGGAATATTTCTTTTTAAAACTATGTTAATCTTATTTAATGGCTCATGCTACAGTTTATATGTGCTCCTTCTTCAAAATAATAGGGAAAACCATTACATGCCAACAGTTTTCAGAAATGATGAGCTTGTGGGACTGGGCTGCCTGACAGGACCACAGATCAATTATCCTGACTAGCTTAATACTGCAGTGTCAAATCCAGTCTAAAAATCTGGCTGAGTGTGCAACCACAATTTATTAAATTTGTATGCTGCCCAAATCTCAAGTGCAACAAAACATAAGAAGATAAATAAAAGTAATTGAAACCCTACCTACTCTCTTTATTAGAAGATATCGTATATAAAATCTGAACATATCTGAATTATAAGTAGTCAGGCAAGACCTGAATTATGTAACAACACAAATTGAATTTAAATAATATTTAATAATAAATATGTATTTGTATTTCGCTACCAATCTTCCTTTTCTCTTTTTTTATTCCCATTGTAAGCATATAGTATTTTCAATTCTCCTTTCAGAATGATACACATTTTACCTTTTCTCCAAGACTGGGTATGTCCTGGCGTGTCAAACTCTGGAATAACTCTAATCCCTCGTAACCGAGCATATTCTATGACATTATGGACATCCACGGGAGTATAAACATGGTTGGGAGTATAAGCACCCTGTGGAAATAAACAAGAGGTAGCATTTTTTTTCTCAATACTCCAGAAAAATGTCAGCAAGTGAGAACAATGGTTAAATCTAGGAGCAACATCATATTGCAACAGTCAAGCACAAGGATATAATCCAGATACAAATTATTTTTTTTATAAAATTAAACACAAACCATATGAACCTTTTACTGATGATCTGTACTTTGAGTAATGTTAAGTAAAAGTGGGACATGGTGGCTCAGTGGCTAAGACGCTGAGCTTGTCGATCAGAAAGGTTGGCAGTTTGAATCCCTAGTGTCAGGTAACAGTGAGCTCCTGTTACTTGTCCCAGCTTCTGCCAACCTAGCAGTTAAAAAGCATGTAAAAATGCAAGTAGAAAAATCGTTTTTTCTCCTGCACTTTGGTGGGAAGATAACAGTGTTCCGTGTGCCTTCCGTGTTTAGTCATGCTGGCCACATGATCATGGAGATGTCTTCGGACAGCGCTGGCCCTTCAACTTTGAAACGGAGATGAGCACCACCCCCTAGATTTGGGAATGAGTAGCACATATGTGTGAGGGAAACCTTTACCTTAAGTAAATGTGAATCATTCTCTGAAATCCTAGGAGAATTTAAGCTTGCTTCCCTATGTATTATTTTGATGAGTGACCATGTATCTATTGAGGGACTGGCAAATGACTTTTATGGATGAAAAACTGATATTGTTTGCTGTATCTCTGAAGATCTAGCCCATGAAATGTGAAGTTGGTAATTGAAAAAGGCAGGAAAGAAGATGGCTTTGTGTATTCTTTATAAAGTTATTTTATGCCTATTGTGTCAATAGGAATACATCTGCTGCTCTGCCATTGACATAACCCATATCAAATAAAAAAATGTTACAACCACCAAAACAGCACAAACAGATAAATACAAAAAGAACGACAAACAATACCGTAAATATAGGAGTAATTGAGTCTTCAGGAAGCATCATATGTCAATTCACAGAACTTGGTAACATTTTAAGTTCACCCGCAGTTCCTTACTAGCTAAGAGGAACACTGAACACTACATAGTAATCTTTGACCACCTACGCATTATTACTAAAAAAGGAGAAATTAAAAATTGGCTTAAGGCCAAATAAAATCTACAGTGCAAAATCACATTTTGTAACAAGGAACCGGGTGATAGGTTATAGGAGTTTTGTGATACCTGTCCAATAGCAGGGCAGGGAGAAGACCTTTGCAACAATATTTAGAAGAGACTGCTCTGTAAAGATAAGATTCAAAGTAAACTGCAGTTCTAAATCCAAAAGGCATTATGTGATCAGTTCTTTGGTCTGTTTCATTGTTGCTGTTGTTGTTTAGATTTCTTTTATCTTGCCTTCTTTTGTCCACTCAAGATGGCAACCGTATTTAATACATGGTTGGTCTCAATTGCCATTGTTAACTGAGGACTACCTATAAACTTTATAATTACATTTTATTATTATCCTTTCTCTAAAAGTTTAGTGAATAGCATAAATATTCAAAATGGTGTACCTGAATTAAGAACGTTTTAAGTATGCTGACTGTGATTCTTTTATATTATTCTTTACCTGTATCTTAGTTTTAGGATTTTTATGTTATTTGATGCTGATTAAAATAATGTAATTTCATTTCTCTTCAATAAACTACAAATCTTCTACTCTATTGGAACATTACCCTGAATTACTATTTTCACATTTCACAGATTGGAAGTGTCCAGATATGTTAGCCCATCACTACCAGTCAATAAGGTGACCCTAATATAACTGACATGTGAGAAAGAGGTCTCTGAATTTTATTTTTTTAAAGACTTGCCACAAGATTTCATATGTTCTTACTTACCTGGGCATTCAATTCTGGAAAAGTGGTACTTTCATAAGGAAAGGAAGGATCATCTACAATGTGCCAATGTAGGACATTGAACTTGTTAAAGGCCATGGCATCCTGTGATAGACAAGATGGTATTTTAGTGACACACTCTACATCCAAAAATTAATTTATACATGTGGGAATTTAAAATCCAATTTCTACCATGAGAACAATCTCATCACTGTTTCTATAACTATTACATTATTTCTACACCTAAGAGAACTCAATGGATGAAAGCTTTACATACAAATACTGTAAATTTTTACAAGATATTTAATTTTATGTAACTTATTTCAACAAGTGGATGCAGGATGCAAAATATAATGACCTAAATAAGATAGCTGCCAAAGAAGGTATTTATCACAGAGCTTTCCACATGTTGTCAAAATGCATAGGCATATATTGATTATGTAGATGTTTCTACAGTGTAAAATTTAGGCCTTAAGCGTGTTCCTCAAAACTACCTGAGTACTTGTCTGTATGTTGTGGGTCCCACTGATTAGGAATTGCTGCCTGGTTGGACCATGAAAAGGGGTCTCAGTGGTGTTTCCTTCTTAATGAAAGCCATTCCCACTGAGGTATAGTTAACCCCCAACCTGCTGCTTTACTGTAAAGCCCTAAAAGTGGTTTTGTCAGCAGGCTTGGGGACCGTGAATGGAAACTGACCCAATCAAGTGGTTAATGGGAAGAAATTGTTTAGACCAGTAGCTTCTCCCAGCTCAGTGAAGAAGTCTAAATTAACAGATTCTATTAAGTTCTTCCTAATGTTCTAAAGAACCTGCCTTCTGTAACTAAACACATTCTGCATCCTGTACTCTGAATGAAAGAGAAGAGAGCTTCTGCTATTTCCCCTTTTCTCATAGGCATTTTCTTGTATTTTATTATTCTGTCAAATATGTTCTTACATTGAGTGTACTGGTATGGAGCCAACTATTTCATGCCATGGCCTCATTTCATTGGCCTTTTTTCTTTGCCAAAATCCAACAGCTATTCACTCTTCAGTTTTCTAGGTCATCCTTTCACTGAATGAAAACCCGTCTATGGATCTTGGATTTTGCCTTTAGACCATTATGTGCAAAATGGTTTTACTGGTACATCTTGCTCATGTTACCCAGAATTTTAGGCTTCGTTATTAGCATTCTAAAAGGGTGACATTAGCTTTTTTAACATGGAAGTTGAAGCCTCTTCTCTAACTTTAAGAAAGCACGTTTTTCTCTTCTCAGCCAAGTCCACTTCATTTGGTCTGTGAGAACTTGGTTTTTCAGAAACTATATACAATAGAAAGTGCATTCTAGAAGACCTGAGATATATATGCAAGTATTAAGAATCAAACTCGACTGGGAAAGGAAATGTATGTAACATACATTTGAGGTTTGAGCAATAGAAAGCATTGATGCTACATAACATTTTACAAGAGGCAAATTTAGGGGTTGTGTAGTCTCTTTCCCAGTCAATTTTGATTCCTGAGTTTTGTCTGAATTTCAAGGCAAAACATTATAATTTCTTCAAATGGATGCCACTTATATTGTTCAGTAGAGAAGCCCCTCTTAAAGATAATTTGTTATCCAAATCTGTTATTAGACATGTAGAAAAGGGTTTTCTCTGTTATTACCAAGCTATGGAATCTGCTCCCTTTGAAGTTGCACTCAGTCTTCCAATCTTTCTGCTTTCTTTAATTAATCAAACTCTTTTAAACTGATTTAAATTAGAGATAGTTCTTGATTTACAATCCCAATTGGGACCAGAATTTCCATCGCTAAGTGATGCAGTTTTAAAGGGAGATGTCACATGACCACACAATGATCAAAATCCCATCTTTTCTCATTGCCATTATAACTCTAGGCATGAGGTTTGTTAAGCAGAGGGAATCCCAGGTAAGGAGCTCAGGTGTAGGGAAGAGCTAGGTCACCTGCAAATGGGGAGGGTGCTGTGGTGTGGTATGAATACAGAGAGGCCAGGAAGAATATGCTGCAGCTCAGGGGATTCTAGAGTTGCAGCAACTCCCTGAGCTGCAGTGCAATTCAAAGCTGCAGTCATCCTGGGAAATCTCATCTGCCCCAGCCTGGCCCACCACAGCCTGGAAAGCCTTAGCCACTACAGGCCATCCCAGCAGCACAGTGCAGCATGCCTCAGTCTGTGTACCCTGCAATCCACAGGCTCTTCCACGCCTCGCTGACCTTGGCCTTTTTCTCCTGCTCTTGGTGAGGCACACGCAGCCTGGCCCTATTGTAAGAGAGGAAGTTGTTGGCCATGCTCGGACTTTCCCCTGAGGCCACTTGTTTGCTTCATTATCATGATCCTTTGGGAAATTTGTGAGCGTTGTTCTGAAGCATTGTGAGAAAAGGGCATCTGCCATTCTCTAAGTCACCTTTTTCTAAAGGTGTGGCAAAACTGTGTGTGCGCATGCTATCATGCGTGCTTTCCCACCCACCTGCGCATGCATGAGCGACTGCCCACATGCATGTGGGAGCGAACGCTTGCGTGTGCAGGGGAAAAAGAATATTCACCCTTCCCATGCTCCAGAGGCTTTCCTGAAACCCGGGGAGGGAGAAAACAACTTCCCTTGGCCCTCCGGGGGGGGGAGGCCGTTTTCGCCCTCCCCAAGCTTCAGGAAACCCTCAGAAGACTGGAGAGGGCAAAAAACAGGCCCAACGGGTCAACCGGAAGTTCAGAAATGAACTTATGGCTGGGGTGTTGGGCCTGTTTTTTGCCCTGTCTAGGATCCGAAGGCTTTCCTGAAGCCTGGGAAAGGGAAAAACAGCCTCTCCTGGCCCTCCAGAAGGCTGAAAAACAGCTGGCCAGCGCATGCATGCGCCCTGGAGTTGAGGGCTGCCACGCTGGCAAATATGGTTCCGCGTGCCACCTTTGCATGCCATCATGACTCTAAGTAGTTCCCCCAAGACCTAGGGAAGACCTCAGAAACTTTCTCAGAAGACTTTTGAAGCATTGCGGGAAAGGGGCAGACTATTTGGAACGATGTGCCCGATTTGAAAAATTGAGAATGAGTTCACAAACCATAAGTTCACGAGGGCTGCCATGTGCCTAAATCTTGATCACATGATTCTAGGGGTCCTGCAAAAGCTGTAACTTCATTCAGTGCTGTGGTAACCTTGAATAGTCACTGAACACATGGTCATAAATTGAAGATTACAAGTACTTAAGTTTTTCTAAAATGATAAGCCGCAGTGAATGCCCTCTGGGAAGGTAGGAAAGATATAACTTGAATAAGGAATAACAACAATAAATACTATAATGGAAGTCTTAAGTCAAAGCTCACCCACAACATGCAGAGATTGATACACCTATCTTATTCATTTATAGTCATTCATTTTAAATGTCTCCTAGAATCCTCTCAACCTGTAGTTGTAGATGGCAACTAGAAGCTTCATATACCAAGATAACTCAGCATATAATCTGGATCACTTACCAAATTAGTTAGAATAACTTTCAGTGGCAGGAAATGTCGTGATGTATCCAGCAAGATTCCTCGATATGCAAATCTTGGAAAGTCACTTATGATAGACTCATTAACAAAATACTGTTGAAACAAACAAAAGAGCCATATGCATGCGTGGAATGTGGCAGATAATCAGATTTGACTTTTGCGTTAAGATACATTTATTCAGGTGTTAAACTTCATTTTCTAGCATATAAAAGTTATCAAATATCTTGCAATGCATTTAGCCTTAGATTTGAAAAATTATGTATTTGTATAAAAAATTACTACTATTCCTTCTGTTTGGAAAGGGTATATTTTATTACCTGCAAACAAAATATTAATGCATATGTTATATTCAAATATAAATACTGCTTAGTGTAAACGTCAATAAAATATTGACATACGGTTCCAAAGATTATAAGCAAATACATAATTTGTAATGTACCTTCTGCTTATTTTTGACTCTATCCCCTGCCTTCCTCCAGCTATTATCCAGATTTTTTTGGGATAGCAGCTCCCATCATAACCAAGCTGATATGGTCACAGCCTATGAAATGGTGAGAGTTGTCCCAACAACCAGCCAAATAAAGGACTCCCAGTTTAGTCCTGCTAAAATATAATTAATAAACAATAGACCAGAGAATATTGGAAACAAGGTTGAAATGATATATTATAGATAGGTAGGCAGATAGATAGATAAAGTTATTAGAATTTCAGCAGAAAAATTACAATGCATTCAGAAAGTATTCAGATCCCCTTCACTTTTGTCAATTTTGTTATGCTGCAGCCTAATACTACAGTTGTTAAAATCATTTTTTCTCATTAATCTACACTGAATACCCCATAATGACAAAGTGAAAACAAAATTTTAGACTGAAAATGGCTGTCCATTGGCTCCATCCAACTGGATTGAGCTTGAGAAGATTTGCAAGGGAGAATGGCAGAAAATTCCTCAATCCAAGTGTGCAAAACTTGTCACACCACTCAAGGCTTAATTGTTGCCAAAGGTGCTTCAACAAAATATTGATTGAATGGTATGAATACTTACGACAACGTGATATTTCAGTTTTTTTCTTTTTAATAAATTTACAGAGATTTCGTACATTCTGTTTTCATTTTGTTGTTTTTTCGTTTTCATTTTGTCATTATGGGGTACTGAATGTAGATTAATGAGAAAAAAATGAATTTAGCAATAGCAATAGCAATAGCAGTTAGACTTATATACCGCTTCATAGGGCTTTCAGCCCTCTCTAAGCGGTTTACAGAGTCAGCATA